CTAAAAGATCTTAATGAAGCAGGTGGGTTTTGCTCACAGAGATTTAATCATCAACCAAGATTCAGTCATCATCTGTTAGAAGAGAGTTGTTATTGTTATTGCTGAGTATTGTTGTTTTTCAGTCGATAAGTCCTGTCTGCCTCTTTGCAACCCCATGGACTGCAGCCCTCCAGGCTCCTCAGTTCGTGGGATTTCCCAGGCAAGAAGACTGGAGTGGGTTGCCATGTCCTTCTCCAGAGGATCTTCCGGACCCTGGGATCCAACTGACGTCTCATACTCAGCAGGCTGAGATGGTTGAATGGCACCCTGAGTCAATGAACGTGACTTTGAGCAAGCTCCAGGAGTTGGTAATGGACAGGGAAGCCTGGCGTGCTGTAGTCTGTGGGATCGCAAAGAGTCAGACACGACTGAGCAACTGAACTGAGCTGAACTGAACTTGGCAGGTGGATTCTTTACCACTGGCCCAGCACAAAAGTCCCACTGCTGCTGACGAATGGAACATTTTAGCGCAGTTATATTTTCAAGGGGGAAAACTTACAATTTTAAACCCATAAAAAAGAATTTTAAACCCATATTATTCCTACATTTCAGAGTTTCCCTCAGTGTAAGCTTATGTAGATTTCAGAAAATGCACAGAGAAGGAGCAGTTGCCTTCAGACCCGTGAATTAACCACCCTTCATGTACTCACACCTCACAAGCTCACTGCAAAATCCCCCTTCTGGGAGATTCAGGCCAAAGAAGAAACGCTCAGATATGTATGACTTAAGACATTTCTTCACATCAAAGGGGTGGCATGTAGACCATGTAGGCAATGCATTCTTGCCCTGAACACTGATGAGCAGGATATCTCTCTCTTGCTGACACTGTCCACGGGAATGACTGTTCAAAGTGATGACTCTTCAGAGCCAGCTTTCCAGTCATTTCCTGTGTGCCCATCCCTGCTGCACCTGGCCGCCATCTGTCTTGTTCCAGCAGTCCCAGGCTGGCTACCTCCCCCATCAGGGTGGTGATTCTGCTTGAAGTGAGAGTCATTCAGTCGTGTCTGAGTCTTTGCCATCCCATGGACTGGAGAGTCCATGGAATTCTGGCCGGAACACTGGAGTAGGTAGCCGTGCTCTTCTCCAGGGGATCTTCCCAACCCACGATTGGAACCAGGTCTCCCATGTTGCAGACAGATTCTTTGCAAGCTGAGCCAGAAGGGAAGCCCAAGAATACTGGAGTGGGCAGCCTATCCCTTCTCCAGAGGGTCTTCCTGACCCAGGAATCGAACTGGGGTCTTCTGCATTGTAGGCGGATTCTTTACCAACTGAGCTATCAGGGAAGCCCTGATTGAACTTTTTAGAAAATAATTATTTATTTGGCTGAGTCTTAGTTGCAACATGCAGGATCTTTGATCTTCCTTACAGCATGTGGTTCTTGGTGGCATTCAAACTCTTAGCTGTGACATATGAGACCTAGTTGCCTGGCCAGGGATGGAACCTGGGCCCCCTGCACTGGAAGCACAGAGTCTTAGCCGCTGGACCACCAGGGAGGTCCCTCGCCTTGACCCTCACCTCTGACAGGTGTCCAGGAGGCACACCCCCAAGCCCCTCCAGCCCCATCATCGCATCCCATTGTCTGATCCTCAGCAGTAGCTGAGCCACCTCTCACCTGGCCACCCTGCTGGGGAAGAACCCATGGGTGCATCAATTTTATGAAAATTTCACCACCTTTGTGATGTGTCATCTTTTTCTGATAAATTCACAGTGGTCACCCTGGAAAAGATCTGGGCACTTTCAACCTCATCTTTTTCGAAAACCTGCCCCTGAAACTTTGCATCACTGGTAGATTTCTCCTTCCCATCTTCCTAAGATTGGCCAAGGATTGGTGGAGCCCTGCCCGGGCCACACTGCCCTCAGTTTAACTGGGGGGAGACTGCTAAGGCCCTTGCCAAGCCTGAAATCCAGACAGGGCAACCCCTCTGCCCAGGCAGCAGTCCAGGAAGTGAGCCGGCCCACCAGACCTGTGTGAGGTCAGCAGTTTGTGATGACCCTCTTCAGCTTCCAGAAACCTCCCTGCCAGCCACTGGGAGCAGCGTCAGGGTGTCCCCCCAGGGCTTGTGCACCCGACTCACACTTCTGGAAAACAGGGGCTCCCTGTCTCCCTCCATTTATGTCCTGTGTGGTCCTGACTCAGAGCCCTGTAAGAGGACACGCCCCGTGGCCCTGTGTCCTCTCTTCCACTTGCTAAAAACAATGTTTTTAAGTGTTCTTAGCACAGCTACTGTCCCACTGGCCCCTCGCCCCTTGGGGGTGGAGATTGTTAATAAGCAAAGGACCACGTAAGGCCAGCAGCTGGTAAGTGGTAGGATGGGAGATCCCCCTGACAGGGGTTCCCCCTGGCCGGAGCCTTGGGGCCATTCCCTGCCTGGCTGTGCACTCTTGTGTGTCTGCCTGTCGTGGCCCTGTTGCTCTGTCACCCGGGATCTGCAGCTCCCACCACATCTCATCCCTTCTCCTTTCCTTTCTCACTGCTTCTGCTCACCCCCGGCCTCTGTGCTTTACCCAGAGATTCCACCCTCCTTTCTCGTCTGTGTGCCCACTTAGCTCTCTCGAGAATCTTCTCTGCCCTCTGCCTGCAGGGTTGACCCCTTGGCTCCCTGTGCACCCAGACATGCATTTCCATCTGTGACCGTGATTGTCCTCTGGGTGTTGAGTAAGTGCCAGCCCCTCCCTGCTTGGTCAGCTGTGTTGGGGGATACACTCCTGTCTGATCTCAGGATCAGTGGTCACAGGGGAGGCTGTGCTTGTGAAGCTTCCGCTCCATCACTCACCACCTGCCATCCAGAACTGGCACAGGCCCCCTTTCTTCCCAGTCACAGCCATTGTCAGACAGAGGTGGGCCACCCCATGGTCCTCGACTGCCCTCCCGAGTTGAACAGCATCAGTGCCCCCAGGGACCAGCTCCCAGCGAAGTGGCCCAGCTGCGTGGTGGTTGCAGGTTTGGTTCCAGCAGATTTCATCACAGTCTGAACACAAATTCAAGGAAGAGACCTCTTCCCCAACTGGCGAGTCTTTTTCCCCTGGCAGATCCTCCAATCCCATGGCCAGGGTCCAGGGGTCTGCACCTCTGTGAACATTTGGAATTCCCCTTCTGAGAAAACAGCTTTATTTCCATTTATTCCAGTGATTCAGAATTACCCTTATTTCCTCTAACCATCCTCCTAACTGCCAGGGTAAGGCCAAAGGGACATGTAAAATATATATGATTTCAAAAACATCCCAAAAGTAATACAAAAACACAGCTGTTGAATTCAGGATGAGGGATGGGTACTTGTGTGTTCAATGTTGGCTTTCAATAGGGGCCAAGGTAAATCACGGGTAAGCTGAACTAGCAACAAAGTCTCTCCCATTTCATTGAATCATTTGAATAATAGAACTAATGGAAAACGTATTACAAAAACAGTTAACCTGTGATTCCATAACCCCACAATTGTTGTTTCATCGCTAAGTCATGTCCACTCTTTAGGACCCCATGGACTGCAGCACACCAGGCTCCCTGTCCTTCACTGTCTCCTAGAGTTTGCTCAGATTCATGTCCATGGAGTCGGTGATTCTATCTAACCACCTCATCCTCTGTCGTCCCCTTCTCCTCCCGCCTTCAATTTTTCCCAGCATCAGGATCTTTTTCAATGAGTCGGCTCTTCACATCAGGTGGCCAAAGGATTGGAGCCTCAGCTTCAGCATTTCCAATGAATATTCAAGACTGATTTCCTTTAGGATTGACTGGTTGGAACTCCTTGCAGTCCAAGGGACTCTCAGAAGTCTTCTCCAGCACCACCGTTGGAAAGCATCAATTCTTTGGCGCTCAGCCTTCTTTATGGTCCAGCTCTCACATCCGTACATGACTACAGTGGTACGGAAGAGTACCATTTGTTTCATACTTCATTATTGGAGCTTTTCATGTTAGCAGTTTTCTTCTTTATTTTTTAGATGTTGTACAGGCACAGTTCTTTCATTTGGAAAGTGGAAACGAAGGACATAGGGTGGAAAATTGAGTTTGTGTTATATTTCACAAAACTGCCTTCATTCGTCTTCAAGTAGAAAAAAATTCATTTTCTTTTTCTTTCTCCTTCTGTAATGCAGACCTGTGGAAGAATAAAGACGAATCGTGGAATTTCTCCCAGGGCTATGACCCTGAACTGATCAAGGAGGACAAACGGAAGGAACTGGAGTCAGAGATCAGAGTGCAGGTAAAGCGGATTTAACGTTAAAGTCCTAGTAAAGTCTTTCACTGCAGTGCTTTTTTATAATGTCCTGTTAGTAACCTACCCAGAATTTAAGCTGTTTCTAACTCCACAAAGAAAACACAAAGCAGGCAAATTCACCTAAAACGTAGTATCTTTTCTATTGGCCTAGGTTGATGAGCTGATGAGACAGGAACTAAAAAACTTAAAACTAGCTGTGAACAGAGAGAAGGAAATGTCAGCCAGACTCGGAAAGAAGAAAGGAGGTAAAAAGGTGAGTGATGCTTACGCTTGGGAGGCAGAGGGCAGAACTGAACTGTGACCAGGAGCCCAGCCCCAGCGGCCAGGACTGGTCCAGGCGGGCCTCAGGCAGACCCTGGCTGCCCCGGGCTGCTTTCCAGGAAAGGTGCCTACCTGTGGTGACTTCCCTGGGTCCACTATGCACTGGTCCACCAAATGCATAGCCCTCAGGGTTGTGGGCTCATAAATGGGATAAATCCAGTCTGGGAGTGAACTCCCCACCTTCATCACTGCAGATCCGTGGTACTGAAAGGTTGTTGCTGAACGATAAGACGCGGGATTCTTGGCCTCCGGGGGAGACAAATTCAATCCGGGGCCAGAGATGAGGCTGGATCGCTCAGAGCTTTTGTGCAATAAAGTTTTATTAAAGTATAAAGGAGATAGAGAAAGCTTCTGACATAGGCATCAGAAGGGGGCATAAAGAGTACCCACCTGCTAGTCTTCAGCTGGATGTTATATAGTCACTGAGTGAGTGAGTGAAGTCGCTCAGTCGTGTCCGACTAGCAGTCTGTTAATGAAAAGAAAGGAATGTCTTAAAACTCAGAATGGCACCAGATAATTCATCCCAGGCCATAAAAAGATTGACTTGAATCTTGTAGAAGGGCAGACTACCACACAAATAGTTTCGTTTACATAGATCAGGGGAACAATATCTGAGTATAACATACTGGTTTCTAAGCCATTTGGCGGAACTTACAGAGTCTGGGGTAAATGCATAGCACATTAACATAGCTTAAGACAAACATTTCCATAAGAAAAATGTATTGGTTAACTGAAGGTTTTGAGAATAGTTAGCTTCAGGTGAAACCAGGTGTCATGGCAACATAGCATTTTAAGAGAAACCTCCTTTTAAATTTGTATAGAGAAGGAAAAAAAAAATATCGCCAGTTTGTTTCCTCCTGCCACTTAAGAGATATAACAGTGTCTGACAGTTGCAGCCTATTTCCTCTGTTCGGAGACCCCTGGCCTTCCTGCCTGTTGCCCTGTCAGTACCCAAGCCCACAGGTGGGACGAGAACTCTCAGAGGAGCTAGGACATGTGCCTCAAACGCCCACCTGTCTCTCCCTGTAGATCATCTGTGGGGGAGGCCAGTGACAAAGAGCAGGTTCTTGGAGAGTCAGGGAATCTGATGAATTGAATTTTAAGTTGCCACTCATCCATCTCCCAGTGGTTCAGAGACCAGTCAGATCCCAATATTCTGTGTTATGCACTGGGGTCCTGTAAGATAATAGAAAATGTTCGTATTGGTCTCTGCCCCCACTTGCTGGCATGGAGCTCCTGGAACCCTTGTAAATTGCTAAGTGATAAGTGCACTGGAAGCCTCTCTTGTTACAATGAAGCAGTGCTGGGTGGATTTCTGGGTGGCTCCCAGGTTGGGACTTGTTACCACCGGAAAGACCAAGCCTTGATCAGAAGCCTGGAAATCTCAGTTCCGTCCACCCCATTCCCAAGTCAGAGGAGAGGAGCTGGACATGGAGTTAATACCTGATCGTGCCTGTGTGAGCGGGTTTCTATAAAACCCCAGTAATCATGGGATTCGGAGAGTTTCCAGGTGGGCGAACACAACCACATGCTGGAAGGGTTGTTGTTCACTCGTTCAGTTGTGTCCGACTCTTTGCAACCCCACGGACTGCAGCACGCCAGGTTTCCCTGTCCATCACCGACTTCCGGAGCTTGCTCAAACTCCTGTCAGTGATGCCATCCAACCATCTCATCCTCTGTCGTCCCCTTCTCCTCCCACCTTCAGTCTTTCCCAGCATCAGGGTCTTTTCCAATGAGCCAGTTCTTCACATCACATGGCCAAAGTATTGGAGCTTCAGCTTCAACATCAGTCCTTCCAGTGAGTATTCAGGATTGATTTCCTTTGAGATTGACTGCTTGGATCTCCTTGCAATCCAAGGGACTCTCAATAGTCTTCCCCAACCACAGTTCAAAAGTGTCAATTCTTCGACATTCAGCCTTCTTTATGGTCCAACTCTCACATCCATACATGGTTACTGGAAAAAACCACAGCTCTGACTAGATGGATCTTTGTCAGAAAAGTGATGTCTCTGCTTTTGAATACACTGTCTAGGTTTATCATAACTTTTCTTCCCAGGAGCAAGCGTCTTTTAATTTCATGGCTGCAGTCACCATCTGCAGTGATTTTGGAGCCCAAGAAAATAAAGTCTGTCACTGTTTCCATTGTTTCCTCATCTATTGCCATGAAGTGATGGGACCGGACGCCATGATCTATTTTTTGAACTTTAAGTTTTAAGCCAACTTTTTCACTCTTCTATTTCACCTTCATCAAGAGGCTCTTTAGTTCTTCTTCGCTTTCTGCCATGAGGGTGATGTCATCTGTATAGCTGAGGTTATTGATATTTCTCCCAGCAGTCTTGATTCCAGCTTGTGCTTCATCCAGCCTGGCATTTCTCATATTGTACTACTCTGCATAGAAGTTAAATAAGCAGGGTGACAGTATACAGCCTTGACGTACTCCTTCCCCAATTTGGAATCAGTCCATTATTTTCTATCCAGTTCTAACTGTTGCTTCTTGACCTGCATACAGGTTTCTCAGGAGGTAGGTAAGGTGGCCTGGTATTCCCATCCCTTTAAGAATTTTTCAGTTTGTTGTGATCCACACAGTCAAAGGCTTTGGCATCATCAATGAAGCAGAAGTAGATGTTTTTCTGGAATCCTCTTGCTTTTTCTAGAAGGGTAACACACCCCAACTTCGTAGAGGCAGAAGCTCCTGTGCCCAGGAGCCTCCCAGACCTTGCCCTACACACCTCATCTGGGTGTTCTTCCGTGTCCTTTATTGTGTCCCTTGATGAACTGATAGGTGTGTTTCCGTGAGTTCTGTGAGCCACTCTAACAAATTCATCAAACCCATGGAGGGGGTCATGGAAACCTTAGATTTACAGCCAGTTGATCGGAAGCACAGGTGATGATCTAGACATGGGATTGTCATTTGGAGTGGGGTGGGGGCAGTCTTGTGGGATATATCACCCTTCACCTGTGGGATCAGACTCTATATCTCCAGGTTGACAGTGCCAGAATGGAGTTAGATTGTAGGAGCCCCAGCTGGTGTTGCAGATTTCTTGATGGAGGAAACCCCCATACAACTGGCGTCAGAAGTGTGTGAACATGGTTCTCCTGGGTCCAGAGCCAGCCGTGTCTCTGGGGCCAGGATACTCCAGGCAGAGGAGCTGGCAGGAGTGTGGGCTTTCTCAAGTTCCCGTGGTCCAGCAGCCCTCCCTGTCCCATCAGGGACTCACACGCTCCCTGAGTTTGTCACACTCTCAGCTGCATTAGTGATTAGTCTGCCAACCCAGGGGGATGTGTGGTGTCTACAGTGACTCTATCCTGAAGCCTTCTGTGTTAACTTTACAGTTTTACAGCTTGCCTCTGACTCTTCAGATTAATACCTGAATGTCCTTCATGCGTCTCCTTGGAGCCTCCATCATTGTAGCCCAATGCATGCTTAGTCGCTCCATCATGTTCCACTGTTTGTGACCCTGTGGACTGTAACCCACCAGGCTCCTCTGTCCTTGGGATTCTCCAGGCAAGAATACTGGAGTGGGTATCCATTCCCTTCTCCAGGGGATCTTCCTGACCCAGGGATCGAACCCAGGTCTCCTGCATTACAGGCAGATTCTTTACCATCTGAACCACCAGGGAAGCCCATAGCCTGATGAGGGTTCTCTATATGTAATTCCCACAAGTAAGTGAGGGCACCTATTTATGCCACTCATTGACCTGTCGAATTGACTGTCTTCAAAAAGTGATGCTTTAATGACTGAATGTGGAAATCAAGCCAAACAAAAGGGGGAATGAAGACAGGAGGTGACTGCCCCCTTCCAGCTGAGACTAGGCTTCCTCTTCTTAACCGCAGCTGATGATCAGCCTGGCCCAAGGGTACGTTCTGCACTGCTGCCCCCTTGCTCCCTGAAGCCTGGTGTCTGTCCTCACCATGTCCTAGCTCGTGAAGTGTCCCAGGATGGGCTTGCTATGAATCTCCCTCTTGTAATTAAACTGACTGAACACACACTAGATGTGCTCAGGGTACCCCCAACAGATTGATGGTAATTGTGCAACCGTAGAGTTTTGAGTCCTCAAAATTCCAATCCAAGCGACCTTGGGAGACATAAATATGATTTCGTTTCATAAGCTGAGATTTAATTAGCTATATTAAATCCCCTCCTTAAGAAGACCATTAGCAGAAGGGGAATGGGCAACCTTGAACATCAGAAAAGAGAAAAAGGACTCAGAGGAATACAATTTATCTGTGTTATTCCAGCTTTATCCAGAGAAAGTGACTTGATCAGAGATTAGACAGCCACCTGAGCACCCCTCTTGAAATACAGATATGACCTTAGCACTCCAGGCTGAAACCCTTTAATGACACCCTAGTTCCCACAAGGATAAAGGTGACAGTCTTCTGCCAGGCTTCCAGAGCCATGCCTGACCTGGCAAGGGGTCTGCTCTTCAGGCTCATCACCCACTTCTCCCTCCCTGTCTGCACTCCAACACCCTGACCTTCCTCTTCGTCCCTCAAACACACTGTGCTCCCTCCCACCACAGGGCCTTTGCACGTGCTGCTCTCTCTCAAGAACTGTCTTTGCTCCCACCCTCAGTCCTGAGTGTAGTTAAACCCGACTCATCCCTGGGGTCAGTCCAAGTCCTTTATCCTCGAGAAAACCTTCTGGGACCTCCGAGTAGTGCTGGTTGCTCTGCATGCACTTGACACTGTGCTACAGTGGTTTTCTGGTGCTTCATCGTAGTTTTCATGTTATATTTACTGGCGAGATCTTTTTATTAGTATCTGCCTTCCCATATCTACTTAAGTGCAGAGACTGTGTGTCTTTGCTGCTCACTGTTGTAACCTTTTCTGGCACATAGCAAGTCCTCAGCACATATTATTGAGTTAGTTAACTCATCAAATCTAGATCCTATGCAGATTGACCCCTCTCAGCTAGATCAGTGCCTTAAGATGCCACAGTCTGAAAATTCAGAGCATCCAGCCACTTTCTTTGCTATTCCGTACTCAACAAGCAACCTCCCAGTGAGTTACTGTGGCTTCATGTTTATTTCATAACAAGAGAGAAAGCTACAGCCTGTTTCTCTCAGCAATTACACTTCACAGTACAGTTTAATCTACTTAGCTTACAGTTTCGTCCACCTTCTCTTGTGATTTGGAGATCCAAAATCTGATATTGAGGGACAGATCCTCTTTACTAATTGTTTCATTCGGCGGTATTTATTGAGCACCGTACGCCAAGTCCATTTCAAGGCGTTTGAGGTGCACCAGGTAATGAGACAGACAAAGAGTCTGCACTGGCAGAAACAAGTTCCCAGGTACTCAGGACTATCAATCAGCCCTGGGTGGGCTGTGGCCCCGTTGTGACATCACTGTCTTAGCAAGAGTATCCATGGCAGGTGCCCTCCGGGGAGCTGGCCCACTGTGGCCTGGCCACGGTTTCCACATCCTGCCCTGGAGTAACCTGGAGCACGTGTGGCCCCCAGCTTTGACCATGGCCAGTGTGGGCAGGTAGAAATTTAGAATCGTCTTTTTAAAAAAACAAACATTCTACAGCTGAAAAATATAGTATCCAAAAGTAAGAAGTCTTCTACCTGGTTTAACAATACTGTGGACATAGTAAATGCAGGTTGACCTCAATCACAAATCAGTGGGAAATACAAACTGAAGTATAGAAAAAAACAAATAAGATAAAGAACAGACAAGAAGGGAGATTTGAGGCATAGTCGAATGTTGTAACATATGTGCAATTAGAATTTGCCCCCCAAAAGGAGGATGGAACAGAAGCAATAAATAAAAAAGTAATGTTTGTTAAATTTTCCAATTCAGATGAAATACACCAAGCCACGAATTCAAGAGCTTCACTGAGGTTCAAGAAGAATGAGGTCCAGACACATCAAAATCAAAATGCTAAAAGTCAAAATGCTGAAAGTCAAAAGACACATCAGAGTCAAAATGCTGAAAGTTACTAGGTTTTTTTTAAAAGCACATTTCCTTCAGGGTAATGAAAAATAAGAAAAACTACTGAGTCTCTCAGCAGAAGCTATGTGAAAGCCAGAAGGAATTGAATGGCATCTTGAAGGACTGGAAAAAATAACTACCAATTTAGAATTCATGAATGAAAATATCCTTCAAAACTGAAAATAAAATAGAGATACTTCCAGACAAACAAAATCTGAGAGGACTTATCAGCAACAGACCCACAATATGAAAATAACAAAGGGATATTATTCTTCAGGCTGAAGGAAAATTAGTTCAGATGAGAGAACAGAGAGGTAAAAAATTTTCAGCTCTGAAAAATGTAAATCTTTGGGTAAATATAAAAGGCTAATTACTCTTAAAATAATCTGGTTTTTAAAGCAAGAATAGTAAGAGTCATGTGTGTCTATACCATATATACAAGTGAAATATAGAACAGCAGTAGAAGAAAAGTCAGATAGCAGTAAATGGACTTGTGGCATTATTGCATTTCTCAGGAAACCATGAAAGGCTAATTTAAGGTAAATTGTAACAAACTAATGATGTATTTTGTAATTCTTTAAAATGATACTAAAATATATAGCAAAAGAGTAATAGCAAAGATAAGTAGAAAAATAAAAATTAATTGAAAAGAATACAGGAAAGGAAAAATAGAAATAAAAGTAAATTAATAAATAATAAAAAGAAAGGAAATACAAATATGATAGAATTAAACTCAACTAAATCCATAATTACATGAAATGAAAACAGACCAAATATTCTAATTGAAAGACAATACTTTCCATACTGGAAAAAAACAAACTTTGTGCTGTTTATAAGAAGCACAATTCAGTTCACTTCAGTTCAGTCACTTAGTTGTGTCCGACTCTTTGTGACCCCATGGACTGCAGCACGCCTGGCTTCCCTGTCCATCACCAACTCCTGGAGCTTGCTCAAACTCATGTCCGTCGATTCGGTGATACCATCCAACCATCTCATTCTCTGTCATCCCCTTCTCTTCCTGCCTTCAATCTTTCCCAGCACCGGGGACTTTTCTAATGAGTTGGCTCTTCACATCAGGAGGCTAAAGTATTGGAGTTTCAGCTTCAGCATCAGTCCTTCCAATGAATATTCAGGATTGATTTCCTTTAGGATGGACTGGTTTGATCTCCTTGCAGTCCAGGGGACTCTCAAGAGTCTTATCCAACACCACAGTTCAGAAGCATTTTGCCTTTTCATACTGTTCATGGGATTCACAAAAAGATATAAATAAACAAAGTGTGCTCACACTTTAGACTTTAATTTTGGTTGGGGTTTAATGGCTTAACAATGTTGTGATAGTTTCAGGTGGACAGCAAAGGGACTCAGTCATACATATACATGTATCCATTCTCCCCCCATACCCCCTTCCCATCCAGACTGACATATAGCATTGAGTAGAGTTCCATGAAGAAGCATGCTTTAAACATAAAGAATAGATATGTTGAAAATAAAAGAACAGTCAACCATAAACCATCAAAGCACTAACCAGAAGGTAGCCAGTGCAACTCAATATCAGACAAAGCAGACTCTAGGTGATAACCAGCCTACACCATTCAAACAATGCAAACAGTGAGAGACTTTATTTTCTTGGGCTCTGAAATTACTGCAGATAGTGACTGCAGTCATGAAATTAAAAGACGCTTCCTCCTTGGAAGAAAAGTTATGACAAACCTAGAGAGCATATTAAGTAGCAGAGACATTACTTTGCCAACAAAGGTCCATCTAGTCAAGGCTATGGTTTTTCCAGTAATCATGTATGGACGTGAGAATTGGACCATAAGGAAGGCTGAGCGCCAAAAAACTGATGCTTTTGAATTTCAGTGTCAGAGAAGACACTTGAGAGTCCCTTGGACTGCAGGGAAATCAAACCAGTCAATCCTAAAGGAAATGAATCCTTAATATTCATTGGGAGGACTGATGCTGAAGCTGAAGCTCCAATACTTTGGCCCCCTGATGCGAAGAGCCAGCTCATTAGAAAAGACCCTGGTGTTGGGGAAGATTGAAGACAGGAGGAGAAGGGGATGACAGAGGACAGGATGGTTGGATGGCATCACTGACTCGATGGGCATGAGTTTGAGCAAGCTCCAGGAGGTAGTGAAGGACAGGGAAGCCGGGCATGCTGCAGTCCATGGGGTCACAAAGAGTTGGACACGACTAAGCAACGGAACAACAGCAACACGCATTCAAACACCTCAAAAAGCAGGACCCCTGCTCCACTGCACACCAGCAAAGCTGCATGAGGAGCCTACCCCAGGAAGACGTAGGAGGCAGCCCTACATCCTCTGTGGAGCGGTGTGAGAGAAGACCAAAATGTCACCACCCCTCCCTCCCTCCCTGCTGGGATGGATCAGAGGAAGCTAAGTGGACAGTCAGGACCTTCACCAGTTCCCAGTGGTAACAAGTGTCATTGGAAGACCACGTGCGGGGAGCCAGAGGTCTTGCCCCACCCCCCAGAAATAGAAGGAACTCCCCCTCACAATGGAGTGAGGAATCTATCCTCCTACCTTCCTGACAGTAACCATACAACACATACACACAATTCCCCTGCCAGAGCAGTGTCAGAGTGTAAACAGAAGATTTAAATTCAGAGTCTCGTAGCATAACAGGCTTCCCTGATAGCTCAGTTGGTAAAGGATCCACCTGCGATGTGGGAGACCTGAGTTCAATCCCTGGGTTGGGAAGATGCCCTGGAGAAGGGAAAGGCTCCCCACTCCAGTACTCTGGCCTGGAGAATTCCATGGACTGTAGAATCTATGAGGTCACAAAGAGTTGGACACAACTGAATGATTTTCACTTTACTTCACAGCATAATACAAAAATGTTTAGGTTTCATTGAAAGTCACTCATCATACAAGAACCTGGAAGATCTCAAACTGAAGGAAAATAGATAGTAGATCTCAAGTCTGAAATGTCAGAGATGTCAGAATTATCTGACAAACATTTTAAGGTTGTCATAATTAAAATCTCACAATGAGTAATTATGAAGCTTCTATATACAAATAAAAAAATAGAAAGCCTCAACAAAAAAGTATATAATACAGAGAAGAACCAAATAGATATTTTAGAACTGAAGAGTAGAGTATCCAAATTATTGGTTGAGCTCAGCAGCAGAATAGAGGTGACAGTGGAAAGAATCACTGAATTAGAACATAGGGCAATAGAAATTATGCAATATGAACAACAGAGAAAATCAACTGAAAAGAAAAGATAAACAGAGAATCAGGGACTGTGGGACTGTTAAAAAAACATCTTGTATTTATGTCATCAGAGTCTCAGAAGATGAGGAGGATGAAACTGAAAAAGCGTTTCAAGAAATGATTGAAATTTTCCCAAATTTGATAGATATAAACCTGCAGATTTAAGAAGCTGAGTGAAACCCAAACAAAATAAATACAAAGAAATCTGATCTGAGATACATCCTAGTTAATCTTCTGAATACTGAAGACAAAGAAAAAGTCTGGGAAGCATGGCGGTGGGAGCAGGTGGCAGGGGTGGAAAAGTGACTCTTTACCTATAGGGGAAAAAAACACCTTAAATGGCTGTGGATTGCTCATAAGAAATTGAGGCTAGAAGAAAGGATACAATACTTTTTCAAACACTGAAAAAATTTATATGCCACCAGAATTTATACCCAACAAAGCTATTCTTCAGCAGTGAAGAGGGGGAAATAAAGATGAAGGAAACCTAAGATTTTTTCACCAGTAGAATCACCCAGAGAGAATTTCTAAAGGAACTTCTTTAAATGGAAAGGAAAACCTGGAGTATCAGAAGGGAAGAAAGAACTTGTAAGCAAAAACATAGGTAAAAAGAATAGGCTTTTCTGCCCTTTTTAAATTATGTTATTTGATGGAAGTAAAAATTATAATACTATTTGACATGGTTCTCAAGGTATGCAGAGGAGATATTTAAGAAAATGTTAACAAATGATGGCGGTATGAGTTAAAGGATATAAAGGGAATTAAGATTTTTCTACTTCATTCAAAATATGACATGAATAGACTGATAGCTATACATATATAATGTAACACCCAGAGCAACTGCCAGAAAACTATGCAAAGAGATACACTCAAAGAACACCATCAAAGTTAAATTCTAAAACATAAATGTTGAAGTCACTCACAGGATGATAGGAAAAACCAAATAAAGAAACAAAAAATATAACAGAAAAAAAAAATGGTAGACTGAAGTCCTAACATATCAGTAATTACATTAAATGTAAATAGTCTAAAGACAATAATTAAAAGAGAGGTTAGCAAAGTGTATTTAAAAACATGACCCAACTGTATCTTCAGGAACCTCGTTTGATATATTATGAAATAAGCAGGTGTAAGTAAAAGGATGGGGAAAATATACCATGTAAACAATCAAAAGAAAGCTCTTATAATATCACATAAGGTAGATTTCAGAGCTGAGAAAATTGTCAAAGACAGGGAAGAACATTATATGTGGTAAAAGAGCCAATCCACAAAAGACATGGTAATCCTAAATGTTCATACACCAAACAGCAGAACTACAAAATATAGGAAGCAAAATCCAATAGAACAAACAGAAAAACAGAAAACTCTACAATTACAATTGGAGACTCAACATATCACTTTCAAGAATTGATACAATACTAGGCAGAAAATCATTAGCAAGGGTATTGCCAAGCTCAACAACACCAGCGACAGACAGAATCTAGTTGACATTTGTAGAACACTCTACTCCACTTCCCTGACGGCTCAGACAGTAAAGAATCTGCCTGGAATGCAGGAGATCCGAGTTTACTCCTGGGTTGAGAAGATCCCATGGAGAAGGAACTGGCAACCCACTCCAGTATTCTTGCCTGGAGAATTCTATGGACAGAGGAGCCTGGCAGCCTACACAAAGAGTCGGACACTACTGAGTGACTAACACCACCCAACAAAGAGAATGCATATTCTTTTCAAGTGCCCACAGAACATATTCCAAGGTGGACCATATTTTGTGCCATAGAACATATCTCAATAGATTGAAAAGAGTTGAAATTATGAAGAATGTCTTCCCCTACCACAATGGACTCAAATTAGAAATCAGGAACAGGAAACTAACGAGAAAATGTCCAGGCACAGGGAAACTAAACAGCACACTTCTAATTCATAGGACAAAGAAAAAACAGGAATAAAAACATATAACAAAAATATAAGATATAAAAATATCTGGGATACTAACCAAGCGGCCCTGAGAGGGAAATTTGTAGCCTTAAACACATACACAGGGGCGTCCCTGATGGTTCAGTAGATGAAGAATCCCTGGCAACTGAGCAAGTCGGTCACCCTAGGCCCTCAGCACTTTTGCCATCATGGGCCTCTTCCTGGATGAAAAAAATACTAAAAAGATTACATGACTGGATTGATATAAAGGCAAGTATATAGCAATAGGGACTTCACAGGTAGCTCAGTGGTAAAGAATCCACCTACCAATGCCGGAGACACGGGAGATGCAGGTTTGATCCCTGGGTCGGGAAGATGCCCTGGAGAAGGAAATGGCAACCCACTCCAGTATTCTTGCCTGGAGAACCCTATGGTCAGAGGAGCCTGGTGGGCTACAGTCCATAGGGTCACAAAGAGTCAAACATGACTGAGC